ATGTTTAGGATTTCTTTCACCGCTGCAGGTAGTATTCATTGTTTCTGATTATATTTAGATATTTTCGCTTTCATGATAACTTATTATTCAGTTGCCAAGATTTATCTTCTCCCATAATCCATTATATCTTTTTGTGTTGTGACAGACTACAATAGTTATGTTTTTATCCTTTAGTTTTCGAATCTGAGTAACCAGCTTGCGACTTAGCTAATAACGAGGACAAGCTGATTGTTTTTGAATTTATCTGATCACTGGTTTCATGATTTCTCATCAGGTGCCTATTTACTCCCGTGTAACTACTCACACACTCTATCTTATTTTTAATTATATTCAATAAAATTAATGTGTGAGCACGTTTAACGTAAATTTCCGAATTGTTCCATTTCTTAACCTACTTCTTTATAAAAGACATCCCAACCTCAACTTCTACATTTGAGATAAGATTTCTATTATTCTTGAGTAAAATAAAATAAATTAGAAAACTTGGTTTTCAAATACTAAAGAGTTCAAATATTTTAGTCAAATATAATTTCATAGGTTATGACTGATTGCAGGGCACAAATCTAATATTTTAAATAGAGGCACTCAAAGTTTATAACTGAATACAAACAAGTGCTTCAGTCATAGAACAGAAAATGTTTACGTATTTCGCATAACTGGAGTGATATGGGACAACAACTTGAAGCCCTTCCAAATAGCTCAAGGAATTCTTAATCTCGTTGTTTGTATTTATTATAATTTTTTCTTCAGCAGCGCCATAGAACAAGTAGTTCTTCCAATGTATCAGTACTCATCATTTAAATAGCAAGCAAAGAGTAATGATAAATATAGATGACAAATAAGACAACAACCGTTGGACAGCATCGTTAGACAGAGTCTTTGCTCAATGTTTGGTTCCTGGCAGCTAAATGAAACTTCCGTGGTTGTACATGTAAATTCCGTGACATCGATTGTGGAGCTTCTGTTTCTAAGTGGCTCATCCTCAACGGAAGAGAAATAACAAATTTCGGAAATTTTTTTAGTAATATTAATAAAATGTATAAGTGCCATGTTTCTCCTCTCACGAATCTATTCCTCTTTATGTAAATAGCGATCGATCGTTTTCATAATAAATTATCCAAAATATCTAATAATCACCATTGAATATTAAGACTACTGGATAATGTATATATTAAATACCTTCACTGCAAGTCTAAAATTGAAACAGTTGCTCACTGATTGGAGACAATTCATAGCAATTAAAAATTCTTTTATTCTTTATGAATCCTTTTGATACCACAGCTGATGCATAATTAGCCCTTCATCTTTATAGAATAAAAGAATGCTTACTAATAAAGCTATAAGGACAAAAAAAAAGAGTTAGCAGGAGTGAATGCAAGACCAGATTGGTAGATTGCGAGCTCAGCGAGGCGCAAAAAGATTTTACAAACCCTTTTGGGCGACCGTTAAAATCTAAAACCTTTGAGACTTTTTTTAAAGGGGAAGGAGTGGGTTAGGTTCTTATGCAAAGTGCAGAAGCTAAGTTAGACAAAAGTCATTGCCCTTCAAAAAGAAACTAGCTTGATTGGGACTGCTGAGTGACAGTGATCCATCATAAAGTCCCACAACTTTTATGCAAGTCTGGAACCTTTTAACCAAGACAAACTTTCAAAAGAGTGCTCAGCGTAAATTTTCCTGCATTTTTATGAAGACCATATTTTAACTCGAAGAAAGTTACTTTCATAAAAAGTATTACTCTGTACGATTAAATCCAAAAGGAAATCTACCTACATAGGCTTAAAGGTGTCTGTAGCTTTACGAAGATTGCTTACTTCTAGTTAGATGTGATCTTCATAAAGTGTGCGAGCACTTAAATGCAGGGACACCGTCGTGAACGTTTCTGGTTTGTCGAATAGCGGCCGACTTGCATAAAGGTGCCGGTATTTTTTTTTATGAACGGGTTACCGTTATGAAGGTGTTCCGCTTGTTTCTATACAGAAACTGAAGCTAGCTCCGAAACCCGTCCAAATAAACGATTTTTCCCCGTAACTGATGTGTAAAGTTGAAATTCAAGAGCTAAGAACAGCAGTTGAGGGTTATTATTCACGAGTTCGGTGCCATTATTCGCACAAACATTTGGGTCTGCGCTAGTAGTAAGGAAGAAGCACCTGATGATGAAAACAAGTTACATTTTCCTTTAAAAACATGCGACATTTTAATTTGAATTCGGTAAACATTTTATATATTAACATAACTACAGTTATTGGTTAAAATTTTAAAGTAATACAAACGAAAATAATTAAAGATTTAAACCATTGATATCATTCGTAATATGTATCTTTGTTTCCTATACTAACTACAAAATAAAATAATTTGTGAAAAGAGATCATGAATTTAATAGGGGAATTTGATAAATTCTTATCTATATTCAGTTTGCAGAGTTATGGTATACCGTAAATATTAGATCAACCTAAACTATAAGATTATATAACGGAGGCTCAAAAATTAATTATAACCTCATAATTAGAGCTTTTTCTAATGAGGTTTTACTCTTCAAAGGTAATATGTTTGATATAAAAACTGAAATACAAATCTTATCTTATTTATCTTTCCCAACAAAAAGGTTTTAGGAAATAAAATATTATAGATGTATATAGATATCAGTTAGATGGTTTACGTTTTAGAAAATATTATCACATTAAGTACCGTTTCCTTTATAATATGCAGAGTTTCCTGTTAACATATTAAGTTTATGGATGCTCATGTTAATAAAAGATACATAAAAGCCAATAGACTCAAAATATGCAGCACCATTTACTAAGAAAAATAAAGCTCATGTCTATATCATTTCAGAAGTTACAGCTTTAAGTAATATAACAGCTATTCGAAGTTTTATTGAACTTACTTCATAAAACATAATTAATCGCACGTTAAACTTAATATTTAATACACTGCTCTCGTTATGGTATACCGTAAATATGTAATAATTCTCGTTATCTTAAGAAATATTAAATAATACAAATTAAGATATCTGAAACAGCTACTCAGAAAGGTGCTTCTTATATAGTCATTTATTTTAAACAATAAGTAATAGATCAAGGAAACTCGTTCTCCTTACATTGTCAAATGAATTACAAAATACGCTTATGCACGACAAATATTTAATGTGTGGTTCACAGATGTTCTTTCACATTTTAACCACATAACTTTACATTCAGTTTTTCATATAAGTAGAACACGTCATATAAATACACACGTTTAATAATTTGACCTTATAATAAATATTTTAACGAATTTAAAATTACGAATCGTAGTTAATTCAATATTACTAGTATGCTTGTCATGAAATTAATTCTGTTGTTAAAAGGTTATTAAAATGAAATAATATTTAATAATATTTGAATCATTATGTATTATATTTCTCTGACTCACTCTCCTCTATCTCTCTTTTCTTAGTACTCCAGCTTTATAATATACAGCGTTCAGTTATTTGTCCTTTAACTGCTTACATGCCAAACGGAAACTTTTATTTTAAAAATGTAATTAATTATTTTTCTCATTTTATACAATAATTTATTTCCGTTTCAATTATTGTTCCAAATTTAGTTTTTAAAATAATGTGTTTCAAGAAAAAAAATAGTACTTCGCTATTTACTGTAGTAAATGATTCGGAGTATTTTTGATTTCTCTTGAATTTTTGATTTAAAAACAACAGAAATTAAAATTAATTAACTTCAAATTTCAAAATAATTACTTAATATAATTTTATAATTACTTAACAATTCTCTATACTCTAAAATTACAGAAAATCAGCAAAAATCATACATCAATGGAGTATATGTGAGTGTAACGAATCAGACCAGAATGCAAAAAATAGAAAACGTTTTATGAAATTCTTTCCCGAATAATAACTATATTTTTTATCTAATTACTTGGAAATTCGTAAGAAGCGTAATCAGTAAAATTATAGCTGAATTTGGCATGAAAATGATTAATACGCTATAAAGCATTGCCATTAAAATTTATTAAAATAATAAATTATCAAAAAGATTCTGAGAACGCTGAATACTTTTCAGTGATATTAAAAGTTCAAGAAAGTGAACACTGTTATTAAATTCTTTACTCTTGTGCAACAAATGTAAACGGTATTCATTTAAGAACCAGAACTATTTTTCAAAACATCATCGCGTTTAGAGTAATAATTGTGGTACCAATCATTACAGCGCGCTTGAATTAAGACCTGATGAATTATTATACGAGTTTATTAAAATATAACTCAATTCCAGTTATCTGAACTTCGATGATCTGAACTTTATTTATCATAATCGTTTTATTGTTCTGTTGTAGCCATATGAAATTTAGCTTCTTAATTATAAACTTTTATTTGCCTTTTATAATTTTTATATTAAAATATACAGTATGACTGCATTCAGTTACTTTATATAACAAAAAGAGAAACAAGATTATGTGTTTATTTTTAGAATTAACATAAATACTCGTAGAAGTTTTTTCGTTATTTTTGTTGAACCATAAAATGGGTTATGCGTTTAGGTAAAAAAAAAGTTTCGTTGTTTAATTTTTCGTTGTTATGTACTTATTTTTACAGAAATAAAAATATCTAAATATTTTGGTTGTAACATTATTATTCAAATAAAATACAGTAAACGAAAAAAAATCAAATTCTCCCACATACATTACAGTAAATATTATTTGCTCTAAGGAAAAACGCAAAACAATTACCCAGAGTTTCCTAGTTAGGGAATGTGGTCTCAGTTAATTCGGATATTTGGTTTCTGGTATATTTTATTTAATTAATTACTGATGAAGCATTCTTTTCTATCTACTAGAAAACATCAATATTATATATGTATATGTAATCCGACTTCTGTGATTATAAGCTTTTTCTTTACGCAACCACCTACTTTTAATCAATTATTTAAAAACAGTTTTCACATAACTGCTCATAAAAGTATTCACAATTGTTTTATATATTTGAAGAGAAGTAAAAATTATGATGTTACCTCTAAAAGCAGTTGCAGTTCTCTCTCCTCGCAACGCTCTCAATCACATGTAGTTCATTCAATCTAAGAAGAGTATCGACGGGCACAATACAAAAAGAAATTAGTAGGTAATTCAAGAAATGCCTGCTTTGGGAAAAGTGTTATTCCTCTGACAGCAAAACTGTCCTCAGCTTTTGGAGCTTGTCTGAATTGTGATTTTAAATTAAAGTCAGCTGGCAGTTCGAGCAGCAGTCTTACACAGCACATGGAACATACCTCAATTTTTTGTGAATGTAAACAACATCCACCGCTCCGAAGGATGAGACTATCTGTGAAAACCGAGACCGCGCTCCGGCGAATGGAGGAAGCAAGTCATGTGACCCGTGACGTAAACTTCACGGTTCGTCTGCTTGGCTTCGGATTTTACGGACCCCAGAATTCCACGGTTTGCAAAAACTAGCGTGGAGAACTCTTCTTTCTTTATTTCTCTCGCTCCTTTTTTTTTTTTTTTTTTCCCCAATCTTTTTACTTCGAGTACCTGTGTTCCCATAGTCTCTCATAGCAGAAATTCAAGACTTTCGAAGTAATCTTTTAAATCTGTTCAGATTAAATAACATTTAGTACTGGGTTATTATAAATTCTGGTTTCTATTTTAAATAATTTAACTAGCCAAAATTAAAAAAAAAAGTAATTTAAATAAAAATTGTTTATCAAAATTGATAAATATATTTGAACGCAACAAAAAAATATATGCAAATGCTTCATTACTTTGTCTTACAGTAATGAACTACTTGAACATTTATTGTTTATTTATGTGATATAAATGCAATGTAATGAGTAAGTATATCATCAGCGATTATAAGAAGATTAAGCTGATGTTATGTAGATTAAGCTACTATAGCACAATCAAGAAAAGTAAATTGGCGTTATTTATATTTTTAAGCTAGAGTTTCATATACGGGTACTGCTCATTTTATGACCAAGTTCTGTTCCTTCAACTACTCTATTAAACGAATTGGTCGATAAGCTAAAAGCTTACGCCAGAAATGGAGTTTTATAAAATTATAAAAATTATGCAACAAACTTCAAATTTATTCATACAAAACATGCATATGGACATATTATCATTTTGTTTATTTGAAGCTGGAGAGGGTCTGGGTAAAGGAGATGATGACCATGAAAAAAAATTGTAGGTTCAAGGGCGGAGGTCCTGAACCTCTAACCGCCGAAAAGAAATTATCAATGATTTATAATCTTCTTTTCTTAATAAATTTCTCTATAGCACTTTAAAACTCCATTCAATCCGCGTTCAACTTTATTTCAGCATTTGCATGTTCAGCCTCAAACAGCATTAATTTTGGAGAACATACCAGCCATCCCATGTACCCCTAAACATTTTCAGTTATTTCTTTTTGTTCCTTCTTCAAGTGCTGTATCGCTTTTAACTCTGTTAACTCCCCATTTGCTATCTATCCATTGACGCAATCCAATTGCATATATACTCCGAGTGCAAAATTAAGAGAATTTGCGCATTATGTCAAATTTCTGAAAATTTAATAGACAGATTTTAAGGAAATTTTGTATGAATATACAAAGTGATGTATCCATCAGAAGTAATTTTGTGTGTGCATGATTATCAGTAATGCACTTAGTACCGGATGTCCAAAATCCATTTTGTGATATCTAACTGAAAATGAGTCTAATATGTACTATGGTTCGCTCTCGCAGCCAGGCAGGTCGCGTCGTGTGACAGCATACTGGACAAGAGGCAGCTGAAGAGTCCCTGTGGCAATCGATCTCACTCCTCCAGCACGGAAGTTTGCAACTCCGAGATGGTTCTCGAAGGGGAAGGTGAGATAAAAGTGTCCTCCCAAGAGCATGTCAGGAGATATGGCTGGCCAATCCATGCAGTGAATATGCTTACTTCCTATGTAATCATCGGCCCGGTGAGCCCTATGTAGACGATCGTTGTCGTCCATTAACGTTAACCCAGGACTAAACGCGCCCTTAGGGCTCTAAGATCTTTCTTCTATACCCTATAACAGTCAGGGAGCGTTTGCTGAACACATGCAGGGGTGTGCGGCAGTCCAGCATAATGCCATCCCAAATCATTACACCTCCACCACCGTAATAATCATTTATTCTGACGAGGGAGGAATGGTATTTTGTTCTAGGCTCTCACCAAATAAATCTCGCTAAATCTCAATTCACCTGATAAAATGCAAGGTTCTCCACTGAAGTCTGGTCGAATGCGCATGTTGCCTGCGCCATGCTAAACGCGCTCTCCTGTGTACTGCAGTGAAAGACGCAAACAGTGGGTCTTCTAGCATACAGCCATATCTCATGAAGCCTTCGGGAAACTGCAGACCGTGAAACTCGGGTTCCAACGGCGCCATATAACTCAGGTGAGAGATACGAAACTGTAGCAGTCATGTGTTGCCACATTGAAAGTGGCAAATAATGATCCTCATTCGTCGTTGTGGATCTTGGGCGAACTTGTCCAGGTCTTCTCAGTGTGGATCCAGTGTCCTGAAACTGTTTCTATGAATTGCAGACTACGCTAGGCTTTATATTGAGCTCTGTAGCCGCCAGCGCTTGTGACTGGTTTATGACCGATCTACAAACTATTTTCCATCTCATTCCGTCATCGTGTCTACTCATTTTATTTGGTGCCTTATAAAATATACCTAACTTCTGCTATAAGCACGGCGAATGTAGTGAAGAAGTACGAGCACACGAAGCGCCAAAAACGCATCGTACATTTACATCACCTCCACAATCACAACTCCACAAACACGAATGTGTACACTTATGTATTTGACCTTAAGCATTTTCATAATTCTTCGACTGCGTAATTAATTCGTTGGTTTAATAATTTTCCTAAAAATAGCAATAATTTGAAAATTCTCTTAATTTTTTGCACTAGTGCATCTGTCACTTCGTCCCAAGCCAGTTTAATATTTTAATGCAATCTAAAACGTTGTACGATTTCCAGAAATCATGAAGTAATACTATATCGTTTTTTGTTGCTACTGCAGGTTGGGAAAAGTCGTGTGCAAATAAAAACGCTTTGAACGTAGCTACAGGGCAGTGGTCAATTTGCTGTAGCACAGCACTTGTGATTTTAGGAAGATACACTGCTTTTATATCTGGCAGTAGATCATCAAGATGCTAGGCCTGGTCTGAAGCATTTATCAAGTAGGAGAATAATTTTAAAAGGAACTCCCTTTTTCAAACAGTAATGCAGGACTCAAAGCATAAACCATTTCAAAAATCAATCTTCAAATAAATTTTGCGTCATCCATGCCTTTTTATTTGCACGATAGTAAATGGGCGGACTGTTTTTACTAACTTTCTTTAATACACATGGGGTTTTGGAGAGCGATGGACCAGGAAAGGCTTTAATGTGTACTCAGCGGCATTCCCTTCAACTATGTGATTCTGTCTTTAAATGCCTTAAAGCCGGCTGTTGCCTTAACTTTTCTGTACATATAGGACCTTTCAAGCATACCTTGACACCAAAGCTTAGCTTCAACAGCATTCAGTATCTCTCCTTTTTTAATTATTCTGTCCAATTCATCAACAAATTTTCCTACATCCGCACTTACCGCCTCACCGCTTATTCTCTTATGCAGGTTGAATCTCCACCTAAACCGCTGAAACCACTGATGGCTTGCTGTAAATGATTCTGTCTTTTACGCATTCATGTGCCTTCAAAGTTTCAAAGATGTTGCATGCTTTTGTGTGAACTATGGCTTATCAGGGTATTATTTTACATCTGGTTGTCAAACCAGATCGCCAACAATTTCTCCATTCCCTTAATAAGACCTTTTCGCTTTTTAGTTATGTTGGATTTAAATCCTCTCGATGATTTCACTGCGTCTTTCACTCTATCTTTTAAATTCATTGAAATTCTCGAATGTGTCAACTTCAAGCCAACTTCTATAACCGTTTAACAACTTCGTATCCTTGTATGATATTTATTTTCATTGCAAGGGCGTAAGCTTTTCTTCGGTTCTTAACAATTTTTCTAGATGATGCCATACTTTTTCCCTTAATCAACAGCTATAATATTTTGGGGTGAAAAATATACAAGGGTAACGAGGTTGCACAGTGGTTGCTCGTTATTATTAATGAAATACATTGAAAAACTGTGTCCAGGTGAAACTGATTGAAAAATTGCTTCGGAATAAAACTTATTGAAAGGTTGCATGCCTATGTCTAATACAGTAGTCGGTAAACCGTGGTTCGCGAGCCAAATGTGGCTGTTTGGTGCTTTGAGTGTGGCCTTTTTCCTTAAATAGCACATGCGGAGGCGCGCATGTAGAAGCAAGATAATCTTGAAAATACAACACAAAGGCAAATTTTACACTAGCATAAAAACAACCGAAACCATATCCGCCAATGCTGTTCCTAGAAAATGGTTTTTTGTACCGATATCGGCGTTTTGATTGTACTGATTATACACCAGATGTGCTGTCGTAATAGTTGTCACATGCCAAATTTTAACTAATGAAATGCTTTTAATTAATATACCATTCAACGGAAATTTTAATGTGAATGAGAAATTAAATAACGTAAAAATGAAGTTTAGTTTCAAAATATCAGGAATTTTAGTTTCTAGACCTTTCAAATTTGAAGTTTTCTTTCCAGTGCCTGAAACAAAAATTTTGCTAGCAATTGAATTTAGGCAATATAAAATACATATACGATGTTTGGGTAGCATATAGTATAAAAAAAATCAAATTGGAAATGTCTAAAACCTAAAAACCCCAGCCATTTTCACACGAAATTTCATTTTTACATTGTTTGATGTAGGAAATTAAAATTGCCATTGTACTGATTTCAGTATAATGGCCAATTTGTCAGTCACGGGATACTCACTTACCATTGTATCATTCATCAGGAATAAGCTTTATGCGAAGATATTTCCAGAAGAAATTTGCAGAGTTATGGAATTGGTGATTAATCATTAACTCCATTATAGCCAGAGCTCCTAATCATCGCCAGTTTAAAGAATTACTAGTTGAAATAGATAGACAGCGAGTACGCAAATCTTCTGATGCATAACAATGTTGCTTATCAAGGGGAAACGTTTTGGAACTTTTGGCGTCCTTATTAACAGCAATTAAAGCATTTCTCCTTGGAAATGATGTTTATTATCCAGAATTAAAGAACGATCAGTGAATCCAGAAATTTTATTTCATGGTAGACGTTACATCTTATCTAAATCAGCTTAATCAAAAACTGCAAGGGATAAGAAACATGATTTTTTCGGTGTCAAAAGAATTTATTTCATTTGAAAACAAATTATCTCTTTTTGCTCA